TATTGATGTTTCCTATGTAGCTGGGGTGACAAGTACATGCCACTATACCCAGCTCTTGGTTGAAAAGAGATCAGTAAATGTTTGCCTGGGTATGGCCTTGGCTCACTGCTCCGGTTCCTCTACAGTCAGCCTCCAGAGTTGGTAGGATTACAGGTACGAGCCAACAACACCCAGCTCAAAGATACTAACTTTTAAACATCAAACTATTTCTATCTCTTTTAATGACAATGTTTCCAGCTCTTTAATTTATTCACTACTTGGGGCATTTTCTCCTGTTCACTTCTGGAAGTCTTTCTTATGATCACTTCATCCATGTCTGCTGTCTCTCTGGATGGAGAGGAGGCCTTTCATTAGCAGGTGAGCTGAAGTCTTCCTTTCTCAGAAAAGTGGAAACTCTATTCTCGTTACTTATACCTAATTCCCATTGCCTGGGAAATAGCCTCTATTGAGAATCTTGACTTTGGTGCTTTGAGTAGACAAAAGAGGACGTCCCAATCTATATAAAGTACAAGCTGAGTCATGACTGGAGCACATTATGGTCCCATTTGACACTCCCAAATGGACCATTTGTTCATAAATGGTCTCATCTCCTTGGAGACTAGAGGAACTAGTCTCAGCCCATGCTCATAGAGTTACTTTCTCTTATTATTCTTGTTTTGTTCTTAATATTTAGTACAGAATTTTAATTAAGATATAAATGAATTTACTGTATTCTCTGTGTTCAGTGTTGGGAGAGTACTGTACATGAACTTCATCTGTAAAGGAAAACTCAGTTTTCCTGCAGGAAAATGATATTCCAGAGAACTGTAAAGCGCTTACCCAAGCCACAGTCTAATTCTTTCCAATATGCAGATTTCAAAGATGTTCTCCACCTCCAACAAATTTTACCTATGTCACTTTACCTCAAGATTTGATGTTCAAAATGGAGAAAGTGATACCTGCTTTCCCTGTCTCAGTACACCAGTCTAATAATTGATATCACAAATAATTGCGAATGCATTTTAAAGTTAATATTTAGTTCTCATTGGTATGACCATTTTAATATTCTGATTTGGTGAGTAATATAAATATCTATTTTTTATTGCTAAGAAACTATTTCCTGTGTTTTTCTACTGTGAAGTTCACATTGTTCATATGCCATTTCTGCTAGTAAAGCCACTTTTTGAGCTAAATAAAAGGAGTGAGATTGTAGCTCCGTGGTAGAGAATTTAGTCCTATGTATAAGGCCTTGAGTTCAAGTTTCAGTACTATAATAGATAGGTAGATAGACAGATAGAAGAGAACTTTTGGATGGAAGGTTATATATTAGGATAAACTCAGAAATATAAGAAACAAATTTTACTTTTTTAATTTGCCATACAGTCTTTTGCATTTAGATTTTGTCTGGGATGTATTTTATAGATTTTATTTTCTTAATAAAACCTTTATATTTTATAAGAAGTTTAAGTTTACATAAAATATTAAACATTATTTCTCAATCAATACCAATTTTCCCTGTTCTTAACATCTTAAATCACTCTGTGTCTCTATTCCAATCAATATTAAAATGTTATTCTGCTCAGGTTCAGATATCCCTAGCTTCTACCATTTTCTCCTTTAGTATCCCATCTCATCCAGGACATTGTATTACATTGTATCATTACCTCATGTCTCCTTGGGCTCCTCTAGACTCTTTTAGCTTCATATATATATATATATATGTATATATATATACATATATATATAT